CCGCACCCGACGACAATCCGTAAAGTGAAACATTTGCAGTAGATATACAACATATACTTTGACATGCCATGTACTGAGGACTCATGCACCAGACGTGCGGCACATGAGTTACGTAATGGTTTTGTGGAAGTATCGATATTAGGATGAGTATTGTGATTAATATTAGTACTAGTGTTCGCTGTAAGTATACATGTCAAAATTAGTAAACATGAATTAGTGTTAGTGCTCATGCTCGTGTTAGAGTTAGCGCTAATTAGTGCCAGCGTCAATGTCAGTAATACAGCACCACTGCTAGTATCAGTGTCAGTCTTAATGCTGGGTTCAATCGCAGCTTATATTCGCACAAGTGCTAGTATTAGTATCAATATTAGAACCAGTTTTGATATCGTAGTATTTTGATAGTTTCGTATAGTAGCAGACTAGTATATCAATACATTAGTGTATTCGAACAGTAACATATTTGTATATTTGTATACTAGTATTTTTGATATGTTAGTACAACTGGTGCACGAGTACACTAGTATATTGGTGTATTAGTTTACTAGTATGTGTACTGTATTCATGTATTGTCGAGTCATATTTACAAGTATATCAGTATGTTGGCATGTTAGTCTACTAATTTGTCATGTCGGTATACGTGCATATTGCAGTAGTCGTATATTAGTATACTCGCATATTAGTATAGTATATTCATACAACAACGAGAAGTATACTGTTACATTGGTATATGGGTATATGCTTATGCCAAGACATTAGTACATGAATGCACTAATGTATATATCTGTATCTTAAGATAGTGGTATGTATTTTTTATGTACATTAGTATATGCAGGTGTCTATTAGTAAAGAGATTAGTATTCATATCAAAACGAATATACTATTGGTATTCGTAGGAGTATTAATGTTGATATTGGAATTAGGACTACTCATAGTCGTACTAGCCATAATGTAAGTGTTCATGCTGGTAATAGTACTGGCATTCTTGGGTATTCAACAGATGATCAATATCCGTATCAGTGTTGTTGATAGCATTACTGTTAACACCACAAGAGTTTATGTATTCGTACTAGTAGGAGTATCAATCCCATTGCAAATATTGGTGTTAGTATAAATATTATTGTGATAAGTATTAGTTGTAGTGTTAGCGTTCGTACTATAATATTATGAACACACTTGAAGTATGTACCACGCTTTCCAGGCAATCAGGCAATGACCAGGAAGATTCGAAGCTGCCAGTTTGAGTATTGGCATCGGCACCAAAACATGTGGACAGTGACAGGGAACATGTTGCAGTTTTTGCACAACCACCGGTGATGCCTCCTGAAACATGGAGTGCCAGGTTTTGGACGGAAGAGCGGAGCTCGAAAGTGAAATCAGAATCCGTTTCGGGCTTCGTGGGGATATAACATGTGAGAACAAATTATAAAATGTAGAGTTAAGTAGATGTTAGGTGCAGAAAATACAGCAAATACCGATGATTTTGTATGTAGGTGAAGTCATGTAGAAATCGAAGCATGAGCAGCAGCAGGTAGAAAAAAGCATGGTATGGATCATGGGGGGGTGTGACCATATATATATATATATATGTGTGTGTGTGTGTATGTGTATGTATACGTATGGTACTCCCCGACACCCCCCCCCCCATGGATGCACCATTTTGTGGCTCACTACACGAAAACAGTAGATATTTGAGGCGGTGGGTAGCTGACCCACCATTGCCCCAAGGCCATGGCCCCGGTACAAACCGGTACAAGTTGTACCTGGGGGATCCGAGATTACAAGATCCAAGGTTGCAGCGGGGTCTTTTCTTGGAATCTTGGATACCGGAGCCCGGTCCGAAACAAACCAGCACAACTGCTGCAAGTTTGTAACGGGCCGGGCTCCGGTATCCAAGATTCCAAGAAAAGACTCCGCAGCAGTCTTGGATCTTGGATCCCCCGGTAAAGCTTGTTCCGGTTTGTACCGGGGCCAGGGCCCGTATCCAAGATCCAATACCTTGGCAGCATCTAGACGTTGAATGGCAGGAGTGAGCTGGAATAAGAGCTTACTAGATTTGACGAATCTGTCACCTATCTCACCTGTCATGTCTGGTTCCCTTGTTCCTGTTTTGCCTTATTATACCATACATGGTTGAATGAAAGTAAAGAAAGGAACAAAGTGAGGGAATGCATGCGTCATTGTTTTACTTAATGCCACAGGAACCCCAATAGGGCAAACTCTCATGTAGTGAAACAGATGAACACGAACTTCTTTGCTTCGCTTGTTTCATTCCGTGTCATTGTGTTAATCTGATCTTTCGGAACAAGGACTTAATTATGAAAGACGACAAATTGCGTGCAGTTTAGGGTTGACTTTTTGTGTTTCATTCAATGAAACAAAACAAGGTAGCGAAGTGTACGCTTGTGTATTTCATTTGAGAAATCACATGTGACAATGTCTATCAATGGAGAAATGCCAAAGTAATGAAATGAAATGAAGGGTAGAGAATGCACGCCTTCATTGTCTTTGCATTCAACTACCTGTGTTACTTTTGATTTTCGAGCCTGATTTCGCTCGATTAAAATAACTGTTGCTTTCATTGTGCTTAGTTCAACTGAACATAAGGCCACATGATGATCTAGACCAAAACGCACCAGTGGAAAAGAAAACGCACTAATGAAGCAATCGTAGTGGAGTGAGGAATTGTGGCACAGAAGATTAGGTTATTATCTTTTTCATTAACGCCCCTCATTTCATAGTAAGAAAGCCACCCGTACGCTTCATTTCATTTCGCCCCTTGTGTTTCATTATATTAGAATGGGGGCGTTAGTTGTGGTTCGTTCACGTGTGCTCTGCTTGAGCTAGTTAAGTTGTTCGTCTTTTCCTGTCGTTTGTTTTAACTACTTGAAACATCTTGAAGCAACGTAAACGTGCTCACTACCAACATCGTCATAGCCGTGTTTTAATCAGAAGAACACGCATGAAAACCACACGCAATTCAGAAGCTTCCTGGCTCCAGGTCTATCTCTTCGTTTGGGTCATCCTAGTATGTTCGTTCCGTTGCGCTTGTGTCTAATGATAAACAATAAGCATGCTTCACTCTGTGACGCTGTCTCAATCGATCATAAAACAAAGGCTACAACAGTACTCCAAGGATTTGAACAATTGCAGCCTTCATGAACGACTCGCGATTCCGTTCCTATTTTTCACTGGCTTTTTGCACTGAAATCAGGCATTCCCTTTACTTCTGTATATTAGAGACAAGGTCAAGGACAGATATTCGCTTCAGAGTATTAGCCTCTAGATCCAGAAAGAGAAACTCAGCATAAGGGATACACTGGAATGAACAGGTGATAGAATCCGGATCATAAGATGTGTGCCATTAAAAACAGGTCCATTATCGTTCCGCTTTGTGCCGCATGGCCAAAGGAACTAAACACGCATGCGCGTCGTCTCTTTGGATTATTCCAATATTGAAAAACACCGCACAGAAGGTCATACTAAAATGAAGACAAGAAAGAGGGCGCATGTGTGTGTGTGTGCGCGTGTTTCTCTTCACTTACCTCTTTTCGTTTCTTTAGTTTAAGTTGCGTCTTTTGCATCCCACCTGTCAGTCTGTTTTCGTCTTTTGGTTTACAGTGCATGATAAAGTCAAAGTCGCGTGTATTCAACCTTTCGGGTTCTCACCAGTTTTGCTGAGAAAAGAGCCATGCTGTTGTGTCTCCTTCTTGCCATGCTCAAGTCATGCCCACACGAGCACCATCCCCAACAGCTGCATCTGGCTCTCCGGCACACGAAAGCAGTGGATCCTTGGGGGGGGGTCCATATGTTCATATATGTATGTGTGTGTATGGATAATATAGACATAGGGCCACAAATAAACAGAGTTGTAGAAAGAAATATGAATATGGGCATAAATGTAGAACGTAGATGAATTGGAGACATAAATGTAGATGAAGTGGTAGGCACTTATCACCCCTGCAGTTTTGCATGTTCGTGTGTTTCCGGCGTCGTAAACTGGGCATCCTTCCACGTTGCACAGGGCGGGTTCTGTTTCGAAACTCCGTGTCTGTTTCGAACACCCCGGTAAACGCAACCCATTGACCCACTCACCCGTTGACCCAATCATTATTGCCAAATGAACTTGAGAGGCCCTAACCTAACGCATGAAAATCATTTTGCGAGGCTTCAGACGGGAACCTGGATGGCCTGGTCCAAGAAGGTTACATCACCGATGACCCTGACCTTCGGGACAGTTAGTTTTGTGAGGCTGCGGCTCCTCCCCGAACAAACGTGCAATGCCTATATCAGGACTTCTCGCGAGTGATCTACGAAAAGTTTCGGAATGAAGAGGAGTCCGAGTCTTAGAGGTCTCAGCGTCACGAAGCTTCAACTCCAAGTTGGCGGCTTCAGGCCCGTGTTTCTGCAAGACCTACAATGGGAGGCATCTGGAAAGACGTGCTCGCATTGTAGCTTTGCTAAGAGTTCTCGCAGTTCAGCTGCATGTGAGTGGGCACTGTCAGAAAACCGGTGGGCTCAATGCTGTGAGAGAGCTTGATGCTCTCTTGGCCCAGCCGCGAGCTAAGAACGTGGTCCGGCTGTCTCAGCTTGACATGTGCATGTAAATGCGGAGGAAATGTTTCTGGTTTGTCGTTCTCATCGTGTCTGTGATCTTCAATGTTTCGTGCCTCATACATTTGGATTGGCCGATGGCTGAGCAGCAGATTGGTGCATGTTCCA